GGACAGTGACCTCACTGTTGACCAAAGCTTACTCACACCAGAGGTGAAGGTGCAAGTCGTCAGATGCTCTTCCCACTTTTTCCGCTTATGTACGTTCACAAGCTACCGAATTTCCGCTTTGAGATCCCTGAGACGGGGATTTCCGGGATCGGCCTGACGAAGGTTGTCACGCTCATCGGCTAGAATAGCCGCTTCAGCAGGGAACTTTGGACGGAGGTCCATAATGCATCCTGCCGGTACGAAGCGAGCTGCAGCAGCAGTGACAACCCTGCGGAACTTACGTTCACCAAGGTGGACGTCGGTTGGTGTGGGGAGTGCAGCGAAGGTGTTCTCAGTAANTTCTTATTGCGGCAAATACGTCTCGCTTCCTTCTTCAGTTCCGTCCCGATCGCAGCGTGGCCCTGTAGGCGGCATCTTTTTTCTCTGCAGCTTCCTGACACTCCTCATCGTACCAGTTGTTCTTTCGGGCTCGCTGAAATCCGACTACTTCTTCGGCGGCGGTATTTAATGAGCGGGAAATGTAGTTGCACTGCTGTTGTTGTTGTTGTTGTTGTTGTAGCAGCATACAAATTCCCCAAAGACTTTTTAGGGAGTGTTGCTGGAGTGTCAGTCCTTGGCCAGATATAAATCTGAACCACCGCCGAAAGAAATTCGACCCTGTCGTCGTGTTTCGTCGGATTGGACAGTGACCTCACTGTTGACCAAAGCTTACTCACACCAGAGGTGAAGGTGCAAGTCGTCAGATGCTCTTCCCACTTTTTCCGCTTATGTACGTTCACAAGCTACCGAATTTCCGCTTTGAGATCCCTGAGACGGGGATTTCCGGGATCGGCCTGACGAAGGTTGTCACGCTCATCGGCTAGAACAGCCGCTTCAGCAGGGAACTTTGGACGGAGGTCCATAATGCATCCTGCCGGTACGAAGCGAGCTGCAGCAGCAGTGACAACCCTGCGGAACTTACGTTCACCAAGGTGGACGTCGGTTGGTGTGGGGAGTGCAGCGAAGGTGTTCTCAGTAAATTCCGCGGATGCGAAGTTGGTTTATCGATCGAGATGACTATGGGCAGATGGTCTGATGCCAAAGTCAGCATAGGTCGCCATGATACGCTGTTTATCAGACCAGCGCTGACTATTGTTATGCCTGGCGAGTTGCAGCAGCTGCCCATAATCCTAGTGGGTGCGTCGTCGTTCATTGTGCAGAATGTCGAATCTGCTCAGTCAAATCTGTTCCCTTACGATTGTTTTACAGGCTTGAATGCCAAAGATCGTGGTGCGCATTAAAGTCACCTGCTACCATACGGTTTTCACCTCTGAGGGGGGCGGCTATATCAGGGTGATATCCTGCCGGGCAGCAAGTCACAGGGGGTGCACGTTAAATATTTCCAGCTCAACATCGCCTGACGGAATAACAATGCCCTGACATTCTAGGGTGGTATCCGTGCGGTCGACCCCTGCTTCAATAAGACGATACTGCACGGTGTGGTGCGTGATGAACGCTAAGCCACCACCATTACCTCGCGGGCAAAATTGAATTGCTGTGCAGCTACGTCTCTGGACCGCAGCTATCAATATATCATGCTTTGCCATGAAGACGGTTATCTCCCCGATCTTGCTCTGAAGTCCGTTACAGTTAAATTGTATTAGCTTCATGTGGTTCGGAAGACTTGTTGTTATGCGGGGTGTGGGGGATGTGTGTGGCTTTGCGCCATTGGCTGTGTGCGCTGTTGTGGAGGTTTTCCGCCCTGTGGTGGTCGCAAGCATAGCACTTGACTGAGGTGGAGTTGTGGTGTGGTGTAGTCGTTTCTGGCATACACAGCAGGTGTAAGTTTATGGCCCTGGGTTTGACTCGATGCCAGCCCTGAGTAGAAGAATACGTAGCAAATGCAGCACTATGCTACTATGCTATGCCCTTGGTCGGGTAAAACCCGAGTCATTCCGGTACGTAGAACCAGCTGTCGTGGGCTAGCATTACTGCTAGCTGTATTGTGAGTCGCTTCATTGCACAGCACACTTTCTAAAAAACAGCTGATTTCGAAAAACTGCCGCTGCCACTGCCACTGCGTTATTGTATTTTGGGCTTTACGCAAAAGCAAAGCCTACTTTGCTCGTAAAGAAAATATACTAACACAAAGTTATTGAGAATTGAGAAAGAGAATACAGTAGAATTCTTATATTTATGACTACAGTATTCACTATGACGACATGTACATACTATGTAGAAAAATTTTAACAAAAATTATTTATTTCCCGCAGATTAATATGGAACAAACATTATATCGGAATTACCAGAAGATTACCTTACAGGAATCTCCTGGTCGCATTCCCGCTGGTCGGATTCCGCGTAGTAAGGACGTAATTCTTTTAGCGGATCTTTGTGACTTATGCAAGCCGGGTGATGAGTTAGAAGTTACTGGTATTTACACAAACAACTCTGATGGTTCGCTAAACACTGAGCAAGGGTTTCCGGTTTTCGCCACCGTCATTATTGCGAATCATATCGTTGTGAAGGACAGCAAACAAGTAGTACAATCGCTTACGGACGAAGACATCGCTACCATTCAGAAGTTGAGTAAAGATCCTCGGATTGCAGAAAGAATAATAGCTTCAATGGCCCCATCCATATATGGCCACGACTATATTAAACGCGCACTTGCGCTGGCTCTATTTGGTGGAGAGTCTAAAAACCCCGGTGATAAACACAAAGTTAGAGGCGACATAAACTTACTTATATGCGGCGACCCAGGAACGGCAAAATCTCAGTTTCTTAAGTACACGGAAAAAATAGCGCCACGTGCAGTTTTCACGACCGGACAAGGGGCCAGTGCTGTAGGCTTGACTGCTTATGTTCGTCGAAATCCAATATCGCGTGAATGGACTTTAGAGGCAGGCGCCCTGGTACTGGCGGATCAAGGTGTATGTCTTATTGATGAGTTTGACAAAATGAACGATCAGGATCGAACTTCCATTCACGAGGCCATGGAGCAGCAATCGATTTCCATATCAAAAGCTGGTATTGTGACGTCTCTACAAGCACGATGTACTGTTATTGCAGCTTCTAATCCGATCGGCGGCAGATATGACCCATCGATGACTTTCTCAGAAAATGTAAACCTTTCGGAACCCATTTTGTCACGTTTCGATATTCTATGTGTTGTAAAGGATGAGTTTGATCCCATGCAGGATCAGCATTTGGCAAAATTCGTGGTAAATTCACACATTAAACACCACCCGTCCTGCGAAGAATTTGTAGAGGATACCCAGACGGCAGGAGTGTCTGAAATACCACAAGATCTTTTACGACAATACATCATTTACGCCAAAGAAAACGTTCGCCCTAAACTTACAGTAGGTAGTTATTTATGACCAATTTGATTTATTACTTACATATAAATTCTTTACACTTCCTAGAACATTGATGAAGATAAAATAGCCAAGATGTACGCACAACTTAGACAAGAGTCATTTGCAACTGGTTCACTGCCAATAACTGTACGACACATTGAAAGCGTGATTCGAATGTCCGAGGCCCATGCACGTATGCACTTACGAGAGAATGTTACCGAATCCGATGTAAGCATGGCTATACGAATGATGTTGGAAAGCTTTATCGAAGCACAGAAGTTCAGTGTAATGAAGAAAATGCGAGCGGCATTCCAGAAATATCTATCATTTCAGAAGGATCATTCTGAACTACTGTTTTTCATTCTTCGCCAGTTAACGCTTGATCAGCTTGCCTACATACGCTGCAAAGAGGGACCTAGCGCAACTCACGTTGAAATAATGGAACGTGATCTTACCGAGCGGGCAAAACAATTAGATATATTTAATTTAAAACCATTTTATGACTCGGAAATTTTCAAACAAAATGGATTTTCATATGATCCTAAAAGGCGGACAATTCTTCAAATCGTGACAGAAGCCGCAGTGTAAAGTGTAGTCTGTTTAGCATTGTTAATTTTGCTTTATTTTTTGCCAAAGCAGGATACTCTCTTCTTTATTTCTTCATGCTTTAGTGCTTTAATAATCATTCTACTATTTTTTATACCACAACATATAAAAATATCGAGGGAAATCTCCCCATTCCTGAAGTACAATTTTCAATAAAAAGTATGATTTGTATAAGTACTAAAATTTAACTAATTAGGCTATTTAACCATCTGCGACTGATGTGGTAGTGTGACAGACACCGCAACCCCGTAGCGAATGTCATGCATTAGTCACTTAAGAGTCTTGTACGGAAAAGTTACGTCTTAAATGACTTTGGGCTCCGTTTGTATGGAAGTCGGTCATGACTTTTTCATATAAATGGTAATTTCGTCGTTGATGTCATCTGTATGACTTTGCCATGCAGTGATCATTGATGACATTCAAGCGACAATATCCTGCAATGAACTTTTTATAAGTGACCGCTGCAAGACATTGTCTGTTATAAGTCTTTGATAGGAGTACACCTGCATGACATTGTCAACAGTGTCAGCTATATGTCGTTTAGGATTCACAGCAAGTGCGACGATGTCACTAAATCCTCATTAGTGACAATGTCACCGGTGACCATTTTCGCTACTGGGAAATTATACATTTTTCCCGAGCTTCCATAGCATTGATTACTAAAAACGCCAAATTTTCGTTATATAGCTTGTTTATATGACTATTTCATTAATAAGTATTAAAAATATTGATAGAATTTCTAGTTTATATCGAAAAGAAGTTCATTAATATACATACTAAATATCTAGAAAATTGGGAATATTTAGTCACGTCAAATAAGCTTTAATTTTTATACCCGAGCGCACTTGTGCACAAGGGTATTATAACTTTGTTCACATAACGGTTGTTTGTAACAGGCAAAACGAATCGAGATAGATATAGACAAATGTATACATAAATGATCAGAATGAAAAGAGAAATCGATTAAGCGGTGACTGTCTGTCCGTCCGTCCGTCCGTC